GCAGCGCTGATGACAAGTTTCTGTCCGCGTCTCCATGTGTGTGCGCGAGTGCGTGTCTATGTGTGTGCGTCTGTGAGAGAGAACGGGAGAAAGAAAGCGTGATTTCCGTACATAAAAAGGTTGAAGACATGGAAATGGGTTGTCAATTTTACCCTATTGTTTGTTATATTTAATTGCTCAATGTCTTCTGGGGTTTTAGTTCTTTTACTGTTGTAGATATCCCATAGTATAACAAAAATATTATATATCTCTTAGTTGTGTTTGGGCCCCCTCTGGACGAGCAAGCATAGGCACGTGCCTAGAATGCCTATGCGTAAATCCGGCCCTGGGTAGCATGTTTCGTCGGTACTCGCGCTGTTCTGTAGGTTATTAGAAGTTTATTCATTCTGAAGGTGTCGCGTGTCCATATTGCACCAAAATGCGACACTGCACTCCCTTGGGTCCGCAGCAACACACCCGCCACGCGCGAAGTCGATTGGATGAACGGTGCTCGACATAATAAAAATGCAAACAGACAGACACACAGAGATTCCTGCCTTTATTAGAGAGAAGAATATGTTCAGCCCCCTCCCTCCGAAGCTTTGAATATTCGGTGTTGATTACTACCGAAGCTTCGAAGCTTAAAAAATGGTATTCGGACCAGCCCTAGGCTTGTCCACATGATTTTTAACAAACTGCAGACGGGCAAAAATGTTTGTTTTGGAGAGCAGTAGCTTTCTTCTTACAACTCTGCCATGCACACCATGGTTGTTCCGTGTTCAGTGGTGGACTCATGAACATTAACATTAGCCAATGTGAGAAAGGTCTTCAGTTGCTTAGAAGTTACACTGGTGTCCTTTGCGACCTTGTGGACTATTACAAGTCTTGCTTTTGGAGTGATCTTTGTTGGTCGACCATCTGTCTGTCTGTGAATTTGTGGAGTTTAAACTCTTTAGAAATGGTTTTGTAACATTTTCCAGCCTGAGCAACAACAACTCTTTTTCTGAGGTCCTCAGAGATCTCCTTTGTTTGTGCCATGATTCACTTCCACAAACATGATCAGACTTACTGATAGATCCCTGTTCTTTATATAAAACAGGGCTGGCACTGACACCTGATAGTCATTCCACGGAATGAAAACACCTCTGAACAGATGGACTCTAATTTTAACCTTCAAATTAACAGCTAATGCTACAGATTCACATACTTTTGCAATGCACAGATATGTAGCACTGTTCAAATGAAAATCACATATTTCCCTCAATTTGTCTCATAGAACCTGAAGCGAGTGGCAGAGACATGGATGGATGAGTACACAGAGTACATCTATCAGCGCCGGCCCGAGTACCGCCACCTCTCCACCGGTGACCTGACCGCTCAGAAAGAGCTCCGCAAACACCTCAAATGTAAAGACTTCAAATGGTATATGAACACTGTGGCCTGGGACCTGCCCAAATATTACCCACCTGTGGAGCCACTGCCAGCTGCCTGGGGAGAGGTGGGTGATCAAAGACCCTGTTAAAATGTGCACATGCCTGGATTGAGCAAAATGCAGAATTTAATAACTGGCTTTCAATCATTCTATTCATGATTTGGAATTTGAATTGGATTAGCTACATAAAGATGCTGAAATGGAACTTGAAAGGGAATTAATGTAAGTGGCTGTGAATTTTAAAGAAATCAGTACAGTTACACAACAGAGCAATTTGAATAAAACGAATTTTTGTGTATATAGTAACAGTGGTGTATATGACGGACGGACGGACGGACGGACGGACGGACAGACGGACAGACGGACAGACAGACAGACAGACAGACAGACAGACAGACAGATAGATAGATAGAGCAGTAAATCTTCTGGTCTGATCTGTACAGTTTTGACACACTGCTGCCTTTTTTGTTACACCTCGTTTCTCTTTGTTCCCCCATTAGTGGGTGCATAACTTTTCCCCGCTTGCTTGGTTTGAGTTACGCACTAAAAACGACACAGTCGTGAATACATATTATGTGAGACAGAGCATAGATGCCAGTACAGGTATAGGCATGTGTGTGTGCATATGACATAGAGTTTATGTGGAAATGTTCATTGATTTATGAGAAGCACTGCCTGGTGAGATATAACATATTTTTCACCAAAGACAAGCAGGCGGCCGATCCTCACCTAAACCCGCGCTGTCTAATATACAGCGACATCACATCGTAACCATTGTTTGCATCACTGCTTCCTAATCCATAAATAAACAGAAGATGCGTAATACATTTATTACTCAAGCTGATACAGGAAGACAGGCTATTCAGGTCATTCATTATCATCTGGGTTTCCTGTGCCAGAACAGCGGTTCTCGGGAACACGTGTGGAGAGACGGGCCTGCCATTTCTCTCCATCTGCAGTTCTGCCATGTCTGTTATAGTGGAGGGTATTTAATATACATGGACTGATTCCCATCTTGTGCATTTTGATGGGCCTTTTTAATCACTGCTGAATGATGAACCTCACAGACATCATGCCTTAATGAATCCCCCCGGGGAACACCATCTCCTCTTTTTTCAATCCCCTGCCGTGATGTGTCAGAAATGGCAAGTAATAATTTACAAATGTAATTAATTTCCCATCCGAATTAATTGGATGGCTGATGCTTACCGTAAAGCGTATCCATCCATCCGAACTGCACATACAGGCTGAGGTAGTAATGGAAACTGTTTCAAATGTTTCAGTGGAGGTGGCCCAAAAAAGTCCATTAGCCAACAACATGCCGTCCGTTTCACTTATTGGCTCTCTCTGCATTAGCGACGTAAATTGATAGTAAAAAGGAAAGGCTGTGTGGCGTGCGGCTGGGGAACCTGCTCGGGGGAAATTTATGCATGGTAAATATCTCCTTTCCTGAGGCGAAATGATAGTAATTTGACTGTCAGGCTGATAGCTTCATACGCCACGCTCTCTAGCTGGTCTGCCAGCGTGGCCACCTGTCACCCCGCCTGATGTATTGCACAATAAAAGAGCCTCATTGGACTTTCGAAGCCACCCCCACGGGCCATGACAGAGAGGGGGGGGGTATAGCTAAGGAATGAAACGGGCCCTTGTCGGCATTTTCAGCAAAGGACAGGGGTCACCGTCGGCATGACCTCCAGCTGACAGGGCAGTGAAATGGGTAAGCAGGCTGTCAACCATATGCCACTCGGCCACCTGCACGTGTATATACTCTCTCTCTCTCATCCACAGCTGTTTCATTGCCTCTTTAATACACTCACATACTTTAAATAATGCAATCAGCAGACTTTTCAGCCACTTCTATGCTCATAGCCATTGCTGCCAAAAGCTGGTATAGTGTAAATGCAGTTGTTAGGTTTCCTGTGGCTTGAGAGGAAGAAGAGAGGAGAGACCCATGCTGATTTGGTCTGATTCTGCTGCATTTACCTCTAAAGAGCTTGTGATTACACGCACTCTTCTAGTGTAACCTCATATGCTTTCATTTATATTTCTAGTTTATTTTGTGGTATAAAAATTCTAAATCAAATTTTATTTCTTTTGTGCTCTGCAAAAAAATGTGCTATGCTGTGAACAGGTAGTAGGCGCTGATGATTTGACTTGAGCAGCACTTAAAATGATGCAAGAGGAAATGTTCTTGCTGTTTCTTTCTAATCAGCACAACCTCCTGCTGAATTTTAGAAGAACTTTAGAAATGACGAGAACAGAGGCTTTCGAAAAGCCACAACACTGGCTTTGAGCTTCTTAAAACATACTGGAACACATTTATAGCTGCTCTGACTTCACAGAAATGGGGTTTGGTAGTAAATTGCCTGCATCCAGCAGTAAATTAGATTCTAATGCATGTCTTTGTTACCGTGTTGAACAAGTCAAAAAATTCATCGCGAAAACATCACTCGACGGCAGGCGCAAGGCAGGTCCAAAAGAGAGCGTGAGGCTGCTAATAGACAAGAAAATGAATTAAACATGTTTTCTTTTTATAACCTCGGGAACAAAAATAAGCTTTTAAGAATAAACTGGCAAGGCAGAGCTTGGTGTGACCTTGCTTTTTCGCTTTCATTTTGTTCCATTTGTCAGACTCGTCCTCGCTCGATTCTCCAATTCAGCTTATTTGAAAAGAAAACACAGCTCAAATCGGGTGCACCATTTCCTTTCCCGTAAATAATAAGCAGTAAAGTGTTGACCTGAACTGTAATAAAGACCAACGCAAGGGTTACAACTTTTCATTCTGATGTCACGCATTGTCCTCACCCGCCTCAGAAAGCTTATAGCGTCCATCTGCTGTAGAAACCAGTTTGATTGCATTAGTTTTCAGCTGTGGCTTAAACTCATTCAAACATTTAAGAGTGAATTTTAGTCTTTCTGACAGCGAGCATTAGCAAATGCTTCTAGTCACCAACAAGAAAAATCTGCTTTAAGTCATGCATTCACAGAGCAGAACGCATGGAGCAGAACTTCATGTTGATTTGTGCTGCCTACTAACTGATTTCCAATTACTTTCAACAGTCATGCCTTGCCAAGAGCTCAAAACCCCTAAATCCCTCACCTCAATCGTTCAGGACTCATGAGCGTGAGAAAAACATATTTGAGGAAGCGGGCTCCAACAAACACTCTGTAATCGGTTTCCTCTTATGGTCTTGGTATGTAGTGCACAATTTCAGCAGTGGAAGTTTATGCATTGTGCATGCACTACACTGCACAGCATAATATGTTCCACCACAGTTCATCCTCTTTGTTAGGTCTCCTTTTTGTGTTTGTGCGTGTGTGTGTGTGTGTGTGTGTGTGTGTGTGTGTGTGTGTGACCTTGCCCCAGGCCCTGGTCCCCTCATGACTCCCTAGTGAGGTGAATAAGTGAGCAGAATTGGCCCAGAACTGCTGCCTGCTCTTCTGTGTCTGCTCAGGAGGCAGTGGCTCCAGCCACTCATGCATTATTGAGCTGCACTGTGACAACACCTGAATGCCTTAAAGAAAATTAGGCGACCTGGACAGCCAATCAAAAAATGAAAGAAAAAGACCAATTTAAGGACAAGGGGCAGCAGAACTCTCTGGAGTTCATGCAGTGGGGAAAGTGCACGTGTCTTTGTGAACAGGTGTATTTTGAATGAATCATTATTTAAATAGGCCGATTTAGCACTTGAAAAGATTGGAGACCAGGGGTCGCATTGTACCTCGCCGCACAGTTAGGAAAGAAGTGAAACTTTTGGTGATAACTTTTGTTATCTTGAATCCACATCTGAGAGCACTGTAGAGGTGATTGTTATAGTCAGGAAGTACTTTTTTATCACATCTAAATGGTGTAAACCACATACCTCATGGGTAAATATTTAATAATAGAAAGAATTTGCAGATGCTTTTGACATTCTCAATTCATTAATCTGCATCATTTTAGACATTTTAATATTCACAGAACTGTCAAATCTCAAGCAACATTTCTTGATAGAGAATATTGATTGCATTTTGCTAATATATTATCTTTTCCAAGGCAAAATTTAGATGTTGGTGTGAAAGTTGTTCTGTAAGAGTATTATAGTATAGTATAGTATAGTATAGTATAGTATAGTATAGTGAGGTTTTGTTGAAATTGCAATAAAGACCGAATTGTGTTAACATGAATAACTGGAATAGAAATTATTAACCAATAATGAGTAATTTTTTTTTTTTTTTTTTTTTTTTGCATTATGTGCCATTGTTTTTAGCAAAAGCCGTTTCAATGACTTAAATTATATATAGATAAATCAGTATTTCTGGCACATTTATAAAGACATTATAAATTAAAATACCTTTTTTGTGGTGGGCTGCTTAGTTAAAAATGCTGGCAGGGCAGAACATTCCTTATTGTTGAACCATGTATAATTTATTCAGTACTGATCAATTATATAATAAACTTACAATATTTAACAACTGAAAAAAAAAGTATTAGTATTGTGTATTTTATGCTTATTACTCTTCTCACGTCGCCTATACTGAAATTTTGTGTGTGGATCGTTTTTTGTATGTGTGGAGTTCCTGGCTGTGTCCAAATCCATGTTTTCCATGACTGCTAGGAAGCTACCTTCAAACACAGCTGCCTATGTAGAGAGTACAGGCAGCAAGGCAGCTCAATAGCTGAAACAGTGCTTTTGTGTGTATTACAGTACAGATTTGTCCTACAAACTTTTTGATCTCCAATTCCTTATTCTTGAACCTTGTTAGATACAATGACAATGCTAAGGCTAACCTTGTTAAATCCTTGTGCAATTGAAGGGTGGCATTCAATAAATCTATTTCTCTGTCCATAGATCCGTAATGCAGCGTCTGGTTTGTGCATCGACTCTAAACATGGCTCCACGGGCACCGAGCTGCGTCTGGACACTTGTCTGAAAGAGGGCGCAGAGCGAACATGGGCACACGAGCAGGTATAAGGCTCCTAACTGATGATAGCATGACATGAAGCTCATTCTGTGATAGTCTCCTTGAAATTGAGAGAATCGCTGTTCCCTGTGGTGGTTAGATTTTCACATTTGGCTGGAGAGAGGACATCAGGCCTGGGGATCCCCTACACACCAGAAAATTCTGCTTCGATGCTATTAGTCAGAATAGCCCCATCACCCTGTATGACTGCCATGGTATGAAAGGCAACCAGCACTGGAGCTACAGGAAGGTAATGTAGTCAAAAATGTGAACATAGCTACTCACTCATTGAAATAACACAAATGTATGAGAATTATTGTACGTAGTGACTAAAAACATATTTGTTTTAACTTCTTTGAAGTAGCTTCTTCAAAACTTGCCTTTTCATAGATTACAGGTCTGGGGTCAAGGTTTTTTTAGTCAGTTTGACCCTGTAAGCCCCTGCTGGTAGATGTAGTAACATGTTCTCTGTCGATGTGTTCTCTGATAAAATAACATATTTTTCAAGCAACATGAATTGCAAAAATATAATTATAGTATATCAATAAAAAAAAAGTTGTATCATTTCTTGAGAAAATGTGACTATATATGTAGGCATAAGACTTTAGATTTATAGAAATAAAAACAATTTTTGAGAGAGAGTGTGTGTGTGTGTATATATATATATATATATATATATATATATATAAATAAAAGCAAAATTGAATTGTTCATGTCTTTAAAAAAGATTATATATCAGCCATTAGATGAATGCATAAGTCTTGAGATGAATATACATAATACTATTTTTTCAGAAAGGTTTTATAACTTTAGGGAAATGTATATATAAATGTATATGCCCTTTAAATATAAATAATTTTACATCTTTTAAGAAAAAGTAGTAGGCACAGTATTTGTCTGTAAGAACAATATAAATAACGGCAAGTGACGGAATACAAAAGCTTTTGACGTTATGGAGATAAAATCCATTACAGTCTACATGAGTAATGTTTTACACCCAGGTGTTGCGTTTTCATATAGCTTCATACATTTTCATATACCATCTCTAAGGAAAAGCCGCACCTGTCTTCCTCCATATTCCCTCTCCACATCTTCTTTAGGAGGTCAATAAAGTATATCTACAGCAACAGAGCAGCATACACCTTGTTACAGATGCCCCTGTGGACTAACGCCTGGCGCTCTGGGCCCATCACTAACGTCAGAGCGAGCCTAATACAGAAGCTCAGTTTTTCTAGCCCTCTAGCGAGGTAGAACGAGCCTAAACTGAGATATTCTTTCTCACATAAGAGCTTTAAGGTGCCAAGCAAAGAAATCACTGTCATTGCAGGATAGGTCAATGGCAGCGCTATAGAGAGAGGAAATATACAGTTGAAAGGAAGAGGTGGTACCTGGCAGTGGAGCAGCCTGAGGCGCAGAGAACAGTAAATCAACCCAGGGGAGAGCGGCACAGAACTGGAGCCGAAAGCCCGAAGGCATGTCCCTCCTCTGCTCAGCCTGAGCACTCCCTCAGGGACACATCCTCTATTTTTTCACCGGCTCTGTTTGGCATACTCAGTAGTTTCTAGCGCAAAAATATACATGCCCGGTGTGCTGTGGAGAACGCTTTCAAGTGGAAAGTTTCTTTGTTGTCTTCTACTTTTTGATAGGAGATTGATGTTGAAGCGTTCCCTCATTCTTTCACTTTTATTTAACTTTCACATTCCTCTACCTCCCACCCCTCTCATCCATCATTTATCAAATTCTCACATTTCACCTCCAAACTCAAGCCATGAAATGAAGTCAGCTTTTCTGATTAGCGGATTCCGTGTTGGGTTCTTCAGTTCCACCCCTGTAATCTGACTGAAGGCTAGTGGGAGATAAAGCAGGATTAGACCTCCAGCAGAGTCACGGTGACTGTGTTTATTGTTTATTTATTTTTATTTCTCTCTCTTTCTCCATCCCATCTTCTTTTTGCTCCAGGATAAGTCTTTGTACCACCTGGTGAGCAACGGTTGCATGGACTGTAGCCTCGGCGATAAGCGGATTTTCATGAACAAGTGCAACCCCGAGTCTGAAACACAACAGTGGATCTTCCAGAAAGTCAACACTACCGTTCTGGACAAATTCAACAGCGGCACCAGCTCATAGGACCTGGGGTTGTGGTCGAGCCAGTCAGCTGGCTTCCACACATACACACACCTCCCACAATCCTTAACGTGGGCCTGGATGTTGTTGCTGTCTGGCTCTGGGTTCCTCTCAAGGTTCTGCAGCAGACTGAGCAAGAGCAGGCTCTTGAAAGAGGAGACTAGAAACACAGAGAGACACAAGGCTGGTGGAAACGCATCCACAATGAGCACCTTGCTGGTCGAGGAGAATACAAACAGCCTGGACTCTCTAGTAGGGGTCTAACTTCTGCCCCAGTTGCTCCCTATACATTAAAAAAAACAGTGCAGCTTTAGGACTTTGGAAGTGGAGTCCAGTGAAAGAATGTTCTGTATCAGTCCTTGAAGATTGCATGGGGGATTTGTACAAAACCAGAAAGTTTGCTCTCAGATTTTTTCTTCTTTTTTTTTTTGTAAAGCTATTTATTTTTCTCTGGGATTGTTTCGACTGTATATTTATTTGTATTTATTTGGTGCCTTTTCCAGATTTAAGTTATGTGTATTGACTCGGTTTTATCATCTCTTGTACCTGTTAGAGTCAAACTTGGGTCGAGGTGTTGGGTTGACCTAATTAAATTAGATCTTTGACTTTTTCAATGGAATCTATCTTGTTACAGAGTTTCTCGTCTATAAATAAAGCAGAAAATGAGTGGATTTGTGTCTCTTGCCTGTGTGGTCTGTCTTTGTCATACTGATAGAAAATCTCAAAAGTGGTGGTTTGGCTCCCTCTGGTGTTGAGCTATTTTTGTGTTCGGTATCACGCTTGCTTTTAAAACTATATTATTTCACCTTTCAATTCACTGAATCTCGAGTCACTCCTTCAGTTTTTATATTCCACTACTTGATAACAAAATCTGGTCTGCATATAGCTTTTGTTACCTGTGTTTTTCACTTACATGTTAATGACATTTTAGTGACAGCAGCAATTAATATTATAAATGTCCTTCCTGCAAGATAGATATGTGTCATTTCGTTCATAATTAATAAAGGACCGTTTATTATAGGTTTTGTAGCTTTTATGGTGTTTGGCAGCATGTCTTACCCACTCAGTATGAATAAATAGGTCTAGCAGATCATTTTTAAATATTGAATTTGTATATTTCCATAACATCAATAATCAGCAAATATGTACAGGTAAAGATTTAATACCACAGTAATTCTATTTTTTTGGTGTGGTTTGCTGTAAGGTGCTTTAGATTATGTGGGGCCATAGTTGTCACAAGTGCTATAGCCTACCTCAACTATTAATTCAGTTTATGGTTCAGACCAGTTGCATGTGGATATCAAATAACCGAAGTCTTTTTTGTGAATTTATTTTTGTAAATTGAAATACATACCTTCACATTACATGATAAAACCACAACGACATAATTAAGACAAGAGCCAGCTACATAATGAATGAGATTTTAAATGAAAGGTTGAACTGTGTTTATAGGGCAAGGGCATTTTTCATGAATGTGAAGTAAGGGCAAGTTGTGACATGTTTTAGAAGTTGCAGTTTTATACAGTTTATTGATTAGCATTTCTGTTGGCCAGTAAATTTATGGATATTCTCTCTTCTCTTTCATTTTTATTTAAATTTATTTTGTTACAATATAGAGTGTGGCTCGCGAGTTGTCGTGGCCGTACCCGCCAGCGATCGGACAGCCTAATCCAGGGGTGCCCAAACTCGGTCCTGGAGGGCCGATGTCCTGCAGAGTTTAGATCCAACCCCAATTAGACACACCTGAACCAGCTAATCAAGCTCTTACTATGCATAATATATATATATATATAAAACATTACAATATAACATTTCTGTAATCTATACAACCTACCAGTCAACAGTTTTTGAACAGTAAGATTTTTAATGTTTTATAAAGAAGTCTCTTCTGCTCACCAAGCCTGCATTTATTTGATCTTTTATTTGATCTATTTGATACTTTCAATTTGTATTTATGTCTTATAAAAATATAAAATATCAGATTTGAGTTTTTGGAATAAAATATTTGTGGAAGTAAGTTTATATTATTATTATTATTATTATTAGGTAGTTATTTAAATTTGTATTTACATACATCATTTTTATTACATAAAGGTCAGATTTTAAAGTTTATTATTATGTAAGTATTATTAGTAATATTGTTATTATAGTTCTTTAAATTTAAATGTGTGTGTGTGTGATTTTCATGTATATATTTCTATTCTTAATTTTAAACTATTTGTGGTAGTTAAGATTATTATTATATATGTAATTGTTTCAATTTGTTTATATATTCCCTATTTATATTCCTTTGTATTATATAAATGATGCTGGATTTAAGCTTTTTTGAATAAACCTATTTGGTAGCAAGCATAT